AATACACCTATGTGGTACAAAAATGTAGTCTCCTAACACTTTTTCTTTTTGCATATGATTTTAGACCTAATTAGCTAGCACACAATGTAAATGATTTAGCGTTTGTGTATATGTAACACAGATTTATCATGATATTTAAATACCAGCATAATTAATTCCACAAAAGAATATAACATCTCTTACAAAAAGAAATCTCCATTAAAATTATATTACATAGTGTTCTTCTCCAAGTAAATATTAAAATGAAGCCTATTAATTATTTAATTTTTCTTCCCTCATGCTCATTAGACAATAGACACCTAACTAATGCGATGTTGAGTTTGACAAGGTGGCATTTGAGATTTGAAGCATTGGCGGCATTCTAAATCGACGGCCAGGATGCGTCGCCGCCCATATTGTGAAAACCCGCACATGTACTTTGACATCGACTACTTGACTGGAGGTAGAATAGAAGGGCCCACAAACCCTCTTAGAGTCTGAGGTCCTTAATTTTACCATTCACCTCCGACACGCGCTGCCGAACTGCGAGTGTTGAGATCCAAAAGTGAACTGAAAATTAAAATGATTTGCCAGCGGAGAGGGGGACCCACATGCTGCGTCAGATCGTCGTCTTTGTAGCAGCCTTTTACAGTAGTACGACTCGTGAATTTTCAGTGCTGTCGTTATGGGTATTTGTTGTCGTGGAGAGAGTACTTTTCACCCCGATCCTTTTTATGAGAATTTCATGAATCGCTTCATAGTGTTTGTTCTTCTGTCATACTGTGATTATAAATTATTTTATTTAAAATTAAACATAAACAGTATATAAGAAAAACTAATCACACAATATACGATAAACGAATACAATAAAGTAATCCTAAAGTTCCTTACCAAGAGAATCTAAAGAAAATCCTCATCCAATTGGTAATTAGAAATTGTAGCGTCAAATTAAGGGAGAGTGCAGAAGGTGAGTAATTTTTTATTTTTGTTAAATATTTTTGTAAATTTAGCTAGCAACCATCCACATAACTATTTTAACTTGATATATAACTTCGTTAGTCTCTTTGGAGCACTATTTTTCGTTTTTTTTTTTTTGGAGCATCTTCAATCATACTCTAATTTAAAATAGAGGTTTTATTTAAGTATCAGCACAAGAGCAGTTGCAAATGCTAGGAACTCCTTTTTAATTTCCCATGAGCTCCTAACGGTTTGGTATCCTAGAAGCAAGTTAGCGAGTGTAATTCTAGGAGAGGGGGGGGGGGATAATGCTTGTGTCCTCCATGGAGAGCTTACTTATCTCACACTTACGATTAATGAACCTTTATCGTCTGAACATCATAATCGGAGCCGTTCATTTTCTTTATTATCATTTAAAGATCGTATCAACAAAAAATCATTCAATTTGGAGAGAATTTAGTCATCTATACGTGTCAAACTAATCAATGATTGCAGGTAACAAGTAATATCTTCACGATGACACGTTCTTTTTTTTTTTTTTTTATGCATATGAAAGGCTAAAAGATTTGCATATATAATGTTTAGATGATGATAAAAAAAAATGAACGGTTCTGATTATGATGTTCAAACAATAAAAATTCGTTAGTCGTAAGTGAAGGAACAACCGAACAAGTAAGTCCACCCGTAAAAGAACACAAGCATTATCCTTTAAGAAGTTCATTGAAGATCTCTAAGCAAACTGACGTCAGCTAGGTCCCAAAAAAGATAAAAATTTAAAAAGTGAGTTGGTGCCACGTACGTACCCATGAGTGCAAGCATTTTTAGAGTACAGAAAATCTAAAGTTTAGTTGGACCACACAAAAAAGGAAAATGGAGATCTAAACTGAAAACTCTAAAAACATGCGATCCTCTAATTAAGAAAAAGGCCATGTACAAAATGATTTATCCAAAGAAAAATTGTAAACCAAATCCCATACCAAATTAATGACCATTTTGGTAAAACTATATATTGACATACGTAATTAGGTGCTTATCGCCTCTGGTTAATTAGGTGTTTATTCTCTAAAAGAAATCATGGTTAAGTACTTATCATCATCATTCTTTTTTATATTGCCATAGAAATATTTCTTACCATGCTTACACTGGATTCAAGTTTGTGTCCATTTATTTTGATTAACATGCGTGTTTTTTTTTATGTAATATATTATTGGGTTTATGATGAACTTGTAAACATTTCAAGTATAGGCAACTGACCAATTTGAAGTTGTTGGAAACATTATGGGTCAATGCTTGCTTAATTATGGATAAATTAGTTTAATGAGGCTACTTGTATTAAAAAGAAGAGGTGGAAACAGATAAATAGTGAATTAAGGAGCTTTAGAATAGGAGAAGGGTGTGTAGCAAACCACAATTGCCGCTTAGATTAACAAGAATGAAAATCGAATCAACTACACTCGATGGTTTATCATATTCCTAATTTTGATATTATTTAATTTTTGTAGTTGGAATAGGCCTCTCGGTTATGTTTTCAATCTTAAAATAATATAAAAAAGGTAATGCTAGGGAAACGATCTATTTAAACCATGTTTCGTCACTGTATGACGTGATTGTTAATAATTATATTATCACCTAAGTGTTAATTTAACGTACTTATTTTTTTAATGATGACACATCACATAATTTACAAATTTAATCTAAAATATTAATCTATCTTACATTATTCTTACAAAAATACCATTTTGTCTTATCAATACAGGAGACAAAGGAAGTTCACACTAATAAGACAGCTGAGTGGTTTTTTTTTTTGTTTTGTTTTTTTTTTCTTTCCTTCAATTGAATTCTTTAAAAAAAATTTAATATAAAACATATAGTTGTCAGAGTGCTTTTACTAACTTAATTTATTAAATTAGTGCTAATTCAGCCATTGCCCAACTCTTAAACTAAGATATCCAAGGGCATGTGATTATGTCACTAGGTTCACATGATACAATATCAGAAATTACCATTTGCCTAACGAAATTTTATCTGACAAAATTGCAATTTGTATGGCAAATAAACATTATCCGACATATTACTTATGTTCACTAGGCAACATCAATCAACATTTTGGTTTCTTCAGAGGGTTTTGCCTGACGAATAGAATTCGACAGGCAAAGCTTTAGTTGGCAACCTTTACCTGACGAATCATCTAGGATTCATCACACAAAGGTGTGCTTTAAGGTTTATGGTTTATATTTTGTCGGGCAAAAGTGAGAGACATGGTTGGCATATTTCATTCATTCGATGATTTTCGCAGTCTGCAAAATTAATATCAACAATTCAACCGTCAAACTTGTTTGTATGTACCCCAAGATTGTATACGCCAAAAATGAAAAAAAAAATGGGGATTAGGTAACAAGATGAAATTCTCGATGGTTGGAAACGAAAAATCCTGATTATAGGGTTGTTTAAGCTCCGATTTTGATGATTTTTTACTACACTTCTTGACCCTCGAAGAATACAGTGAAACTCAATCATCAATTTAAAATATTTACGCTAGTGGATACCACAAAATCTTACGTTATACTTAATGGAAGTATAGAATAAACTCTTAAGTGTTTGTTGAATCTATTGTTTTGGTTGGATATGCATTCTATGAAACTAGTTTCAATGATCCAACTGTCAAACTTGTTTCTATATACTTTGAGATTGTAAACGCCAAAAATCACAAAAAACAAACGTTTGGAGATTAGGTAATGCGACAAAATCCTTCGACGGATACAAACATATCATGACGATTTAATGTGTATAAACCTTTGATTTTGATGATTTTTTGAAGGACGGTAATTGAGAATAAATATTGTTTTGATGTTTGCTTGACGATTTAATGTGGCAAACTAACATAGATTCATCGGGTAACATTGCTACGTTTGTGGGGCAAACTTGAAAAATTTGCAAAAAATAAAATTTGCCCCCTAGATTGCTCGATGAAATATTCCAAAATTTTGTCAGGCAAACTTTATTTTCCACCAATTTTTTCGTCAAATTAAATTATTTTAGATGCCTTTACTCGACAAAATTTTAGGATTTTAAACATGTGTCCCATTTTTTCAAACCTTTACTTGATGAACCTTTTCATCAGGCAAAGGTCTAATATGTTATAATCCGAGAGCCCTTCTTCTTCCTCCTCATGTCGCTCAACGGTAGAAAATCTCACTCATTCTCTCTCCTTGCTCTCTCTCTCTGTTGGTGTTACTAGACTAAATGATTGTGTGCAAATGAACAAGAGAAGTGAGAGTTACACATCATGTTTCTTGTCCTACATACACCTCTTTATAATTGGTTATTTAGATTGAATAAATCAAACATAAACAATAGATAAGATTAACCAAGAATGTATGAGAAAAGAAAAATAGTACCATAATTATCATTTTTCGTTAAAAAAAAGTTAAAAGTAGCATTGAGTTTTAGTGTGGCATGGAGAATCCAAAAGTCACATAGAAATAAAATCAATGTTTTAACAGCCTATCAAATTACGTGCATAATGACATTGAAGAACACTAATGTTTGAGAAAGAGAAATGTTAAAGAGACTTTTTTAAAGTAAGATTTTTCATAAATTTTATGTAACTTTATGTTTTTGACACAATCTTTTATAATAGTAGCACGTAAATTATCACTAAAACTATAAAATAACATAAAATCTATGAAAAATTTCATTTTAAGACAGTGTCCTTAGCATGGAAAACTGACGTGGTGTTTTGCGGAATTACAATTTCAATTTCACAACGAGGGTATTTTTTGAGGCTTCAAATTTGGGAGAAGTCATTTCAAGAAGGTGACTTTATAGGCCACAGAGTAAATTGACGCGCCAACAGTTCGCGCGTGATATGCAGTTTCATGTTCCAAAAGTGCCATGGATTTTGACTGTAATAGCTTAGCTTAACTGCTTAAGCAGCTTGATAGCTTCACTGGTTGCACACAATTCTTGAACACGTTCGTGCACAAAAGCTTTCTCTCTCTAGCTTTTCTCTCCATCTCATTTTCCACCCTCTAATTTTCTCTCTCCTATTCTGCATTGGTTGTTTTGATTCGGATTTTTTTGGTGCCTGGTGTGCCCAAACACCGACCTTCTATCTCTCTCATCTCATCTCATCTCATCTCATCTCTCTCTCTCTCTCTCTCTCTCTCTCTCTCCTTTTCAACAAAGCATTATTCGATTTCGTCTTGCCCTCTCTTTACAACACCCCATTTCTGCAAATTGCATTTATCTCTGTTTTCCCATTTTTCTTGCACAGCTTTTCCATCTGACAATCTCAACTTTTGGTTTTTTTTGCTCTGCATCTCTCTAAAAAAAGAAGGCAATTGAAAATGAAGGTCTGGAATCTGAAATCCTCCCCACTTTTAAATTTTCTGAATATTCATTCTTTTTGCTGTCAAGATTTCCCATTTGGTATTGATTCTTCAAACTGCTTTTTTGGGTTCTTTTTTCTTCTCAATTTTTTTCCCTTTTGTTTTTTAAAGGAAGGCATGATTGTTGATGGGTTTTGGTTAAAATCTTATCAGTTTTAGTAGTAAAAATCAGTTTCGAGGATTAATTAATCAGATGGGTCCTAATTAATCACACAAGTCTCTATCTTGAAAGGGACAAAAAATTCTGCTTTTGGTTATTGCAGTTTTGGAGTTTCCATGAAAGAATTGTTTAGATTTGGAAGAATTTTGTGTGATTCTGAACAGATCTCTTGGTGTTTGTGGTTTTGTTGCTGCAGAAGTTTGTACTGAAGTTGGATTTGCCTGATGGCAAAGCCAAGCAGAAGGCTCTCAAGACAGTCTCTACTCTTTCAGGTGCAAAATATCATTATTTTACTAGATTTAATCAAACTTCTTAATTTGGACCAAATTGATGATGCTAATTACTAATTGACAGAAATATACTTCAATCCTTACCTAAATTCTGTCATCTGTAATTGTTTGGAACTTTGGATGGAAAGTAGTGGTTGGAAGATTTCTCCACTATAGTTTCCTAAAGAAGCAAGAGATGGGATTGGAAAATTATATATAAAAAATCAAATCTGTTTTGTTATTGTTCATATCTGATTGTTCACATATGACAACTTAATTGGTTAAAAAAACAAACAGAAATATGAGGAAAGAAAGAGAAAGAGAGAAATTTCTTCACCTAGGCTCTTTATAGGAATAAATTTCGGAGAAGATGACAACTAGCTAGCGGTAGAGTTTGCAGACGTCTGCACTCTAATTTGTGATTCAGTTTCAAGGGGTTGAAATGTACTAGAAATCTTACAAGTAATGTATGTAATGAATCGGGTTAATGTTTGTCTTTTGTTTTTTTTCAATTTGAAGGGTTTGAAATGTGTTCTAAAAGTCTACAAGTAATGAAAGTAGAGTACGTCAAGGATAAATTCAAGCATCGATGATGAAGAACTTGCCGTTTGTTGTCGGAGTTGGTTGTCCATGTTGCCTTCGGAGTTGTGTATAAGAGAAAAATGTTAGTAATGAATGGGTTAATGTTTTAAAACAATCTGTGCATGGTTTCTGCAGGGTTTAGAGTTGCTAGTTTGCTCTATCAGCAAGTTGATCATCTGTCTTGCATTACTCAAAACTTTAAGTACCACAAAATGTAGGGGTCATATGGATCAATTGTTCTTAAGATAGTAGATATTTAAACAGAGTTGAATAATTGAAAATTCTCAATTAATTGTTTTGATCTTGCAATTTGTAGGCATTGATTCCATTGCCATGGACATGAAGGAAAAGAAATTGACAGTGATCGGAAGCGTGGACCCGGTGACTGTGGTGAGCAAGTTGCGCAAGTATTGGCAAACAGATATAATCTCAGTCGGACCAGCAGTAGAGCCTAAGAAAGAGGAACCAAAGAAGGAAGAGCCCAAGAAAGACGAACCAAAGAAAGAAGAAGAGGCGAAGAAGGAGGAGCCCAAGAAAGAAGAAGAAGCCAAGAAGGAGGAGCCAAAGAAAGAAGAAGAAAAGAAGGAAGAAGAGAAGAAGAAAGAGCTAGACCCCGTCTTGGCGTACAAAGCGTACAACCCCCACATGACCACATACTACTATGTGCACAGCATGGAAGAGAATCCGAATTCATGCGTTATTTTCTAGGCAAGCAAGCTTCTTGAATCCTCGAACGAGGGACTCAAAATCTTCCCAATGCGAATATGAGGCCAAAACCCCAAGAAAGTAGGAGCTGCATTTGTATATATAAGATGCTCTTTGCCTCATTGACAATGTTGCAAAACATTACTATTGTGTGTAGAGCAAATAAATGTATTTAAGTTTTGTTGTCACCACATAATTGTACTCTCTAGTCTTATTATGGTCTGTAATGCCTCTCTTGGGAGCTTGAGCTCGCCAATTTGGTAATTTTGTTTTTTTGTTTTTTGTTTTTGTTTTTGTTTTTGTTTTTGTTTTTTTTTTTTTTTACTGTGGGTAAAGAAAATGGAAAATTTCATTTTCTTTGGTTTTGTAGTTAATATTTGTAGGGCACAGGTGTATTAAATAAAGCAAAGGTGACTCATTTTCTTCAGTTTGCATGGTGGGTCATGTGAATGTACTCCTTTCAGGTGTTTTTTTGTATTTGTCTGTGAGCTTATATGTCTACATGCTTTATTAAATGAAACTGAAGGCTCATGGAACCATGGTCCTCCTCCTCCTCCTCACCATTGTACCTGTCATTGATTTGTCTTTATATTATATATAAGCTGCTGCTTCTGCATTAATTTGCAAGGGTCATACATGGTCCCATGGATTAACTGGTCAAGTTAGTAATCATTTTTCCTTTTTCTTTTACTTGGTGATCTCTATTAGTGTGGGTGGATGGTGTAAGTTAATTAGTAAATGGAGTTTTCTCTGCTTGAAGAATCATGGTTGTTTTCTAGATCATTTTCAAGCTGTTCCAGCCTTTTAAAGTTGGTGTATCCAAAACTCAAACTTTTGTGTCGGATTTATGAAATGCATGAGAAATTTTTAGAGTGATAGTCATGATGTTTGTTGGAAGACTATAAATAAATTCAAAAGGACATGTGTACCTTTTATGTTGAAGCTTTAATCTCAACACGCTCCTACAAACATGAACAACTGCTCTGACCCTCCAGTGCACTTCTAGAATCTCGCAGGTCGTTGGGTTGGCTACTTATGTCGAGTTGCCCCTTGGTTTTCGCCTTCCAAGATCTAGAGCCAAAAGTGATAGTTCTAAAGACCTAACTAGAATATTTGAAATGTGGAAAAGCTTGTGTTTCTTATTTTTTCTCTTCCCTAAAGCCTCCTTATATAGTGGTTGGGAAGAGTGTACAAAGACTGAAAAGCCCATGAAAATCCCAAGTATATTCTAGTATGAATATCTCTTGATTTTCATCTAATTATCACATAGATAATTAGGAGGTTAATATCCTCATGTGGGTGGAATATCCTTTGATATTTATCTATCCCATAAGATAAATCATACATCTCCCACTTACACACATATGGTGTGGCATAGTCTTAATCAACACACTTAGTTCACATACATTCTAGTCTATCTCCTCATATAGGAAATGGAATGTGCGACCTCGCGAGAAAGAACGTACATAACCAAGACCACTGCCATTAAGCTATCACTAAACTAACAACAATGCAACTCTCGAAGTTCGTTGCTTTATGCCCCAGACTGTTTGTCACACACCAGACTTGACATTTTTTTATCCCTTGTTATGAAATAAAAAACAATGTTATGTCTCACAAGTATCATGTATCCATGTCTTATGTTTGATAACAAATATCAAAAAGACGCCGCACAACTAATGAATCACATGACATGGTGTTTTCTTCAAATTGTCTTCCATAAGCTCTCATGTCAGTCTAATTTGATTTAACTGCTTGCCTAGACACACCTTTTAGGATAGTAGCTGACTTGACCGTCTTAGATAAACGTGCTAAAGTATCGATCATTAAACCTCATCTTTCTAACATAGACTTTAGTTCAAAGGGCATAAGGGTGGAATCATATAGATTCCTTGTGGTTCACACAGTGATTGATGATTCATCACTCCTACTATCAGTCAGTTATAGCACATACAATATGATTTGTATGCTATGGTGTATCCTCATTTTAATGAGTGTGTCATATGTCCATTGGACATACACCATATGAATCTTACTTTAGTGGCTACACAAGTGCCTAACCTGAGTCTTCTAGCCTAGTTGCTTTCTCGGCGCCCACCTAGATACTCATATCCGGCTTTACAAGCTTCAGCATGAAACAAATCTCATGTTCGACTTCTGTTAAGTCTCATCTCAGACATTTCTAAGGCCACATTTACCTTGTGCATATTGGTACGTTCAACATACACGTGTCCGGTCTCGTAGTCTAATACGTTGAGGACACAAATGTCTCATCCTACTCGCTATCTCAACGGTATGGTGAATCGTTCGTGTGAAAAACTGATTCTAGCTGGGTGACACTCGTAAAGATGTGTAAACAATCATTTCAAAAATAAATATGAAATGAAAAACTTCAATGCCTTTTTATTCAATAATAATGTCAAATACAAAGAAAAACAAATCAAACCCTACATAAACCTATGTTCTTTACATAAGTCAGAAACAAGTTTCTAATTATGGGTTTAGTCATGGGATCAGCGAGCATATTGCTGGTTGAGATATGTTTCAACACTACTTCACCTTTGGTAATCTTGTTCCTAAAGAAATGATATCGTGCATCTATGTGCTTAGATTTGCCATGATATTTAGAATCTTTAGTATATGCTAAGTCCGAAGTACTATCCCAGTAAACAAGTACAACTTCTTGAGCATAAACTGTAATTCCTATTTGTCATAGAAACCTCCTAAGCCAAACAACTTCTTAAACAACTGATCCAAGTGCAACATATTCTGACTCCAACAGAGCAATACAAGTTTGCTTCTTGCTACACCAAGAAACAATTCCACCTCCAAGGACAAAAGCATAACCTGAGGTGGATTTGCGTTCATCTCTATTGCTTGCCCAGTCTGCATCACTATATTACTTCAGATCCCCTCATTGGTAACATAAGGCTAAATCTTTTGTTCCTTGCATGTATCTCATAATCTTCTTGATAATCCTCTTGACGGCTTGCTAGTGAGCTTGTCCATGATTACTTTGATAGCAACTTACCATGCCCACAACATGGCAAATGTTCGGACGCATGCAAAACATCGCGTACATCAAACTTCCTACTACAGAGGTATATGGGACGTTTACCATTTGTTCTTTCTCTTTCTTAGTCTTTGGATACTGTTCTAAGGACAATATCGCGCCTCTTTCCATAGGAGTGTCTATGAGTTTGGAGTTTTCTATCTTAAATCTTTCAAGTACCTTTTTAATGTAAGTTTCTTGAAACAAACTTAAAAGTTTCCTTGAGTGATCTCTCATGATCTTAACTCTAAGCACAAAATGTGCTTCACCCATATCTATCATCTCAAAATGGGATGACAACCATGCTTTCGTGGTTTCTATGGAGGTTTTGTCATTTCCCGCTATTAGGATGTCATCAACATACAGAGAAAGTATAAGAATACTTTTCTTAGATTTCTTAAGATACACTCAGTGGTCTTCCTTAATCATCTCAAAGCCAAATGAAGTGATTGAATTATGGAATCTAATGTTCCATTGTCTAGACGCTTGCTTGAGGCCATATATGGAACGTTTTAGGTGGTAAACTTTGCACTATTGTCCCTTGGCCTCAAAGCATATAGAACTCCTCATCTAGTTCTCCATTGAGAAATGTTGTCTTAACATCCATTTGGTAAAGTTCCAAATCTAGTTGAGCAACAATAGCTAAAATGAGGCAAATCGAGGCAAATCTCACCACAGGGGAGAATATCTCTTCATAGTCTACACCCAATTGTTGAGTGTATCCTTTTGCCACAAGGTGTGCCTTATGTTTGTCAATTGAACCATCCACCTTGAGTCTGATTTCTAAAACTCACTTGTTTCCAATGGTTTTACGACCAGGCGGAAGGTTAACTAACTCCCAAACAATATTTTTGTCCATGAAGCTCATCTCTTCCTCCATTACAATTATCCAATTTTCTTTGGCCGTTGAAGAAAAAGTTTCTTTGTAAGAAGAAGGTTCGTCTTCCTCTAAAGGTTTGCAAATGTAGGCCTCTCTATCAACCCTAAAATGACATTTGGGAATGTGGCCTCTCTTGCTTCTTCGAACTGTGTGACCTTGAATTTCAGAGGGTACGCTCCTATCATTGGGCATATTCTCTTGAGTGTTTATGGATACATTATTCCCACTAGGTTGTGTACTCTCACTCGGATCAAGTCTTCCTACATCATATTTAGCGACCATTAGATTGAAAATTAATTCCCCTTATTCGCTTGAAGATGTTACAAGTTCTTCATCTTTCTTAATTCATGGAGATCAAGGTTTTTGATAGTATCACCAAGTTTTGGGAAGTCATTCTCTATGAATTCCACATCACGTGAATCAATCTCGGTTGTCCCTCAATCTGGATGTTCACCATACATCACATAACCTTTCGAGTTCACAATATCTTATAAAGATATGTTTATTTGCTCTAGGACCCAACTTTCCAAACTTATGTGATTGATTATGAGCAAATCCAGCACAACCCCAAGGACGCAAATTACCCAGATTGGGTTTTACATCATTCCAAAGTTCGTATGGGGTTGAGGGAACCGTCTTTGAAGGCACACAGTTAAGTATATACGTCGTAGTCAACAATGCATCACCCCAGAAAGATATGGGGAGATTTGTTTGTGCCATCATAGACTTGGCCATTTCTAATAAAGTTATGTTTCTCCTTTTAGCAACACCATTTTGTTGTGGCATGTAAGGAATAGAAAGTTGTCTACGTATCCCTTTACTTTCACAAAAAACCTTGAATTGGTTAAACAAATACTCGCGTCCACGATCAGTGTGAAGAGCTTTTACAGTCTTCCTTTTTTGATTTTCAACCTTAGCTATGAAGCATTTGAAACAATCTACAGCTTCATAATGATGAGCGATTCAAGTACACATAACCATATCGTGTGTAATTGTCAATCAAAGTCAGAAAATAAGATGTGTCATGACGGGCTTTCACACTCATTGGCCTACAGATGTAAGAGTGGATTAACTCTAATAGTTGAGTAGCTCAAACAGCCTTTCCAAAAGGCTTTTTAATTGCTTTGCTAGCTAAACAAGGCTCACATACAGGCAGATTGACATTAGTGAGTGGCCTTAACAAGCCTTCTCTAATTAACCTTGTCATTCTATCTTGCCCTATACGCCCTAGTTTAGTATGCCATGTTTCAAAATTA